AATATTTTTGTTATAATAAATTATATTTTTATAAAATAATTCACGCCCTTATAAATTTATAGCAAACTAAACAAATAATTAATCCAGAGACAAAACTTGTCAATCAGATCAACTAAACTTGTCAATGTCAAAAATACTTGATTGATATTGATTATCTAATGTAATGACTAAATAATTTCTACAACATGTAGCATCAGCTCGCAAACGAAACATTTATCGACTACCTCAACATTGCCCTAGATAATCTGAATTCCCAAAAGTAACCGAATTTAAAACTTTATTAGATTCTAAATAAAGTTCAATAGCAACAACTTTATAAGCTTTGCAATTGATGAACAATAATCATATATCATAGCCTTGGATAGCCTCATGCAATAAACTTAGTCTCGCATCAATTGATGGTTTCAGAGTCTGCTCAACCCAACCTGAAGCTCAACCCACTTCTTAACCAAACATCGAGTGTGGACTTTGTAGTCGACTTTCAGGCGTGCGTCGCATATACCAAGCAGAGTTAAAAAGAAGAGAGAGACAGAGAGGAAGAGAGAGAGAGAGAGAGGGCAGCAGAAGGCATACTAAGTGCTACAATTTCTACTGTTGGTATAACAATCTTAGCATTGTTGAAACGAAAGAGAAAACTGATTAATAAAGTATGAACTTAAAGCACAAAATATAAATGAACCTGAAGTACGATTTTGAATTAAAGACGTTAAAACTTAAAGGAAAAGCTGCTTATTTATTCGAAAATAATTTAGTTTAGCTTTACGTAGGGTTGAGTTCATAACACAAACAATCTTAGCTTTAGTTCGGTGTTATTCTGTTACAAAAAAATTGTTCATAACTCATCAAAATTCTACTTATGTTTTTCATAGAAACAGAAATTCCATGAAACTACACTTCATTAATATAAAGAAAACCTTAGTACTTCATTCTGTGAGGTATATTGTACTAGTTAGCTTAAAATTATATTAACTTATCTGAAATATCAGCTCGTCTTATACTAGCTATCACATACTTATACGAGCTTATACTAAAATATCATCTATAGCTTCAATTTCATTCTAACCCCATATGCTTGAACTCGTCTTATACTAGTTAGTTCACATTTATACTAGCTTATACTCTGATATATCATCTATAGATTCTATTTCACGCCCATAATTCGTTCTCACTGCGCCTGTTTTCCATCAACTCTTTGAGCTCGTTCTCTTATTATTTTTGTTGTTGTATTCTCTTTTTTGTCTCTGTTTTTGACCATGTTTTCTAGTTGGCTTTTAGACGTCGCCTGTCCTTTGTGCCACATTTTTCTCTGCTCCGCTGTGGATGCTTTATTTGAAGTTGTCCTTTTTCAGTCGCATACTACGTGAACCAACTAACAATGTGTCTACGTAGTACGTAGTGCCCGCCCTCTCCTGGCCCCAGCAGTTCCAGTATAAGTCAGGGCCAAGCGAAAGAGCAAAAAAGAATTTCCCGGTCATTCCATCAAAGCGCAAGTCGTGATAAAAAGAAGTGAAGCAAAAACTCTGAACAAAAATTAAAAAAAAATAAAAATAAAACAGCCAAGGTAAAGGAAAATCTACGCACAAAGTGGCAAACAGCAAAAGGAAGAAAAAAATCCAACTGAAATGGCCACAAGATGAAAACGAATGAACAGGAGTGAGCAAGAGCGAGAGTGCAGGAGCAGAGCAGGGCAGACCAACGAGTGGGTTGTATGGTGGGGTTAGTCGGAGATAGTGACTGAGAGGCTGCAGCAATTTTTTCCGTTATGAACCAAAAATCGAACTGAAATTTGTGCTGCTGCTGCTGCTTCGGCTGCCAACATAACTGTTGTTGCTGTTGTTGTTGTTGATATGAGTGTATGCTGTGGCTATCCATTGCGTTGCTACGTTGCGTTTGCTTGCTGCTTGTTCTCCACGCTCCGTTTTGGGCCTCATGCATTTTCCGTGTTTCGTTTTGTGCGCAAAATAAATTGGTAAACAAGCGAGGCGGCCTGAGGAGGCCTGCATTAGCACGACAAGGACAGTGATCGAATGGACGAATGACAGAGATGGGGAAACACAGAGAGGAGCGCTGGCAGAGTGTGAGAGAGAGCTGGCCTGGTGGTCAATGGCAATACATGGTCATCCGATTCTCGTACATAGCCATTCGCCTGCATTCATGCTCATGCTGTGTACATGTACATATGTATGTATGCGAGTGTGTGTGAGTTGGTGTGCGTGTGTGTTGTGTTTTCTGTGACGCTGTGCACATTTCATTCTGGCTGCATTTTAGTGCCTGTCCATTGTTTTTGGGTAGTCACCTCCCACTCTCGAATGGCTCTGCCATCGCCATTCCCCCCTCTTCTCATCGTGCTCTGCTCCTCTGCTCTGCTTGCGTCGTTCATGTATTGCATATGGTGCGTCCGTTAGCCGCGTGGGTCACATGCGTTGCGTGGTCGGCGCGTCGCTGCTTTTTTGCTTCTCTCGCTGTGCGTTTACCTCCGCTGCCGCTGTCGCTGTTGCTGCCGCTGCCTGTGCTTCTGTCGCTGCCGATGCCGCTGCTTTTGCCACGGCTTTTTTCCACGTTGTCGTCGCGTCTCTTCTAACTCGCTGGAAAGCTGCGAGGGACTCACGCCGCTCCCTTTTTTCGCATTTCTATTGTTGTTGTTGGTGTTGGTATTGTTGCTTTTTGGCTGCTGCATTGGAGGCGCAGTTTTTGCATTGCCATTGTGCACATTGGTGCAAGGTATGCATGGAATTGGAAAGGTCTAAATATTAAAATAAAAGATAACAATTGTTCTTAATTGAGTGTATTGAGTATAAATAAAGTAACATTTTTGGGAACAAATTGATTGAGTTAAATATTTGTATTATGTGAGTTTTTGGGCTTTAAATTATTATATTTGACATTGTCATAAATGAAATTAAAACTAAAAATTATCAACTT